CGCCAAAACCACTGAACCGCTCGCTTCGACGCTACGAACAAGAATGCATTCTGGCCATAGGTGTGTTCAGCGTGACAAGTATTTAGCTGTCAGCTGTCAGTAGACGGTAATAAAAGAAAGCATCAAAATATCGGAAATATTAACCATTTCAAATTTTGTTTAGTTTCAATCCTATCCATGGTATAATTTCACCATGACCGATATTTACATAATATTTGATTTCTTTAAATTATATCGAATTAAAGTTGTTTAAAAATTGTTGCAAAGAAATTGTAAACAAAGTTCCCATCAAAATGAAATGAGCTGAAACCCTGTCTCAATCAAAATATCCGAAATATCAACCATTTCATTTTTTTTAGTTTAGAAGATACTTAATTTCTTTAAATTATATCGAATTAAATTTGTTTAAAATTTGTTGCAAAGTTCGCATCAAAATGAAATGAGCTGAAATCCTGTCTGAGGCACGTGCTTTCACCCTGTACTTCCGGTATTGCATTCCGCATTCCAAAGAATTTACAATCACAACTTCTATTGATTGGGTGGCAGCACCGCAAACAGCTGGAGATCGAATGAATCACAAAGCAACGGGTGGATTAGCCAATCTAATTGCTACGTTTCGTTTTGCTATTTATTGTTTATACGTGTTTTTTGCAGAATATGGCTACTAAACTAAACGTAAATATTAGAACTCTTCTGACCAATTGCGAGGAGCTAGCTAAAGATGAAGCCAACTACTGGAGGCTTAAAAAGTTCATAAAATCACTGGACACTATGATAGAGGAACTTAAGGAATGCGACGAGTCAGTACCCTGTTCGTGTGTTTATGCATACCAGAAGTTTATTTCTGTTTTACATTTATTTATAGCATCGGTAGTAATCTGAAAGTACCAGACTACACAAAACGGCTTAATGATCTCAAAGCCCTTACCAACTATATAGACAGCCCACCGCCAGTTAAGAGCTTGCGTTCAAAGCTACGCCCGGCACATGAAACTGGTGATGACGCCCTGAAAGAAGTGCAGCAACTACAAAGCTCCAAACACCATGCAGATTTAAGAAAGGATTTATTGGGAGGTATGGATTATATTGTAAATGTTAGAAGCTTTTTTCTAATAATGCCTTTATGTAGACGATACACTGCGCCGACGTAAACCGGATGATAGTGCAACCAGCGCGGAAAATATGGGCGAAGCCGTTAAATATTATAGCGAGGCACAAGAAAAAATTACCGAGCATATGCTCTCGCTTACGCGGAATTTAAAGGAGCAGACCGAGACCGCAAATCGGATAATTAAAAGGGATACTGAAATCGTGTCAAAGTCTACAAATATGGCCGATCGCAATATTAATTCCTTAAATAAAGAAACAGAAAAATTAGAGGAACACTCTCGCAACGCATGGAAATGTTGGATGTGGCTTATGTTTGCATTTGTTATCGCTGTATTTGTTGGTATGTAAAAAAAAAAACAAGATTTATCATTCATTAACTCCAATTGATTTTATAATTTCAGGAATGGTATTGTTTATGAAAATTATGAAAAAGAGGAAAGTTTAAACTGAAAGTTTAGAAGTACTTGCGAATAAATATCTAAAATTTTTTATATTTCATAAATAGCAAAACAAAATGATGTTAAACAATATGATATCAAATATTTGCAAATTTAATTTTAAAAACTATTTGTAAATTTAAAGTTTTTAAATAAACATTCCCAAACAAATTTCCTTAAAATCTACGTGTTCGCAGGGTTGCATGCCGATGAGAACACTTGTAATATATTTTAGTGCTCGCGAAACAAGTCTATTCAAATGTCAAGTTCACAACTGTCATTGATCAAGCAGTATTGCCAATTACACGTCTCTTTCTTTTTCCGGTCGCCAGAATGGTAAGACCTGAAGAAATATTTTAATAAATTAATTTCGAAACATCAGTGAATAATCTCAATTTTCATCAATATTCACTATGCTAGAAAGTTGTGAAACACAATAGTGAACCAATTGTAATGAATATCTTTTTCTACGACCATTTCAGGGTATTGATATCAGCCATAAATACGATCGCAAAGTTCGCAGAACTGAGCCCAAATCTCAGGATGTTTACTTGCGTCTTCTTGTCAAGGTAAGTGGTTTCCAATTGGTAGACAGGAATAATATTGTGCCGTGTGAAAATGCAATTGTTGTTTGAGGTGTCCGAAATTATTAGCAGCTGACATTTCTCTGGCTTGTGCAATATTTTAGTGCGTCGTCAAATCTTGTCTACCGCTTGTATGTGCTAATGTGTGTTTTATTATTATTAATTGCGTTTTTTTTCTTTCTTACAGTTGTACCGCTTCCTACAGCGTCGTACCAACAAGAAGTTTAATCGCATCGTCTTGAAGCGTCTGTTCATGAGCAAAACTAACCGCCCGCCAATGTCTTTGCAGCGTGTCAGCCGTTTCTTCAAGACAGCCGCTCAACCAGAAGCCACAGTTGTTGTTGTCGGTAGCATTACCAATGACATTCGTCTGTTGAAAGTACCCAAGATGACTGTTTGCGCTTTACATGTTACACAGACAGCTCGCGAGCGCATCATCAAGGCTGGTGGCAAAGTGTTGACTTTCGATCAATTGGCACTTAAATCGCCTACTGGCAAAAATACATTATTGTTGCAAGGAAAACGTACTGCACGAACAGCCTGCAAGCACTTCGGCAAGGCGCCTGGTGTGCCACATTCGCACACCCGCCCATACGTGCGATCAAAGGGTCGCAAATTTGAGCGTGCTCGTGGTCGTCGTTCCAGCTGCGGTTACAAGAAGTAAACAATCAAGCTTAGCACGTTTATGCGTTTGTAATATTATATTGTGGGTAACCACGAATTTCGTATTTGTGACTATTGATTTTTGCTGCATAGTGCACGACAGCCGCACAACATGTTTATGCAAATAAAAGATGCAATTACTTATAATTTTTTCCAAAGTACAAAATGCGTGTAGTGTTCTTATATGTTACTAGTTTAGTTACTTATACCTTATTGATAGAAAGTTTACTAAAAAATTTCCAAATTCTTGAGTGAAACTTTGCAATCTGCGACAAATATTTCCAGTACATAATGGGTTGTTGCAATTAGTCTTCAACGTAGTAAAATAATGCGCTCTAGAAGGGTTTTCTATGTTCTTTGATATGATCTTTATTAATACATTTAGATCTGATTTGCATGTTTAGCATTCCCAGTGATGTTCATGACTCCATTTTCAAGTTACGATGGTCGGCTCTGCGGCACCAGATGAAGCACACCCCCAAGCATTAAATGGTTTAAGGCAATTATATTACATATTGGAAATTATATTACAGACGGCAACTGGCAATTGAAACCTGGCAACTGAATTTTTGTGGTTGACGCGGAAATTTTGATTGTAACAAGTAATTTTTAGCAAAAAAAACCGACTTCAACTCTCATAAAAAAAATAAATATATATATATATATCTCCTGATCCGCTGATCGGATCTTAACCAGATTAGTATGGGACCACCTCTGAGACACTACCTTTCCGATGCAAAAAGAATTATCGAAATCGGTTGACGTGGCCCAAAGTTATGCGGTAACATACATAAAAAAAAAAAAATTAAAAAAATATTCCGACGAACTGATAACCTCCTCCTTTTTTGGAAGTCGGTTAAAAATTTATTTCTTTTTAAACGGTTTCACGGTTTATTTACAATCAAATCTTGGTTGGTGGTACCTGAAACTTCGAATATCATCAAATTTGTAGCCCTTCGGCAACCCAACTGAGGTTGCGTTGCTATCCATAATCGACCCTTTATCTTGCTGGAATTGTTCTATTGAAGGCAATTGAAACACTGAAATACTGCAATAGATATATATATCTTTAAATAGCCCGTAGTATAATACCACAGTGCGAAAGCCAATTTCACACATTTCAAAAATCAATCAGGGATAATCCATAGAGTACGAATTTTCTTGAAATCTACGGGAATGCTAAAACTGAATCCTAATAGCTACGAAGTAGCATATCGTTACATAAAATGCAAAAAGACGTAACAACATCATAAATGAAATGGAAAAAGTCGTGACTAATATTTTTTTTCTCATAAAATGATGTGGGGAGTTGTAATTCGGTGAAATCCAACATACATATGTACATATGTAAATCAAAAAACTGAATTTTGAGATTTTTATAATTATACTTTTTGCATTTCAACGATAATGTTTGCTAAAATTTTATCCTTCAATATTTGCGATATTTATTTTTGAAAAAAATTAGATGTTAAGGACCAAAAACACTCGACCACGTATTTGAATTTTGTCCTACGTTAGTTAAAAAAATAAAATTAATGTAAAAAAGCAGTTTTACAATGGGTCGTATGAATAAAATAATAAATTAAAATTTCTTAGACTTTACTCGATTTATTCAAACAAAATTGAAATAAAAGGTATGCAATTTTAAGAAAAAGCAATTGCTTTGTTTTTATTCATTCGACCCAATAATGGCCCATAGTTTCGTGAGTTTATCGATTGCTTCGTGTGTTTTGAATTTTTTTTTTTAATTTTGTCGCAAAGTGTTCTATGGAATTTACAATAATTTCAATTCGAGTTTTTACATTTTTGTAGGAAGTTACAAAATCATCATCGTATCAAATCTATTTCTAATTCTATAATTCATTCAAATTCTTACTTTAAAGCTTATATGTATATAGAATCCTTTTACTGCAAATGTCCACTCCAGTAATTAATTAATGGCTGGTCTTGCGGCTGCACCCCTAATACTTTTCTAAGTTTCCCCTGACCATTCGACGACTTAGCTCGATTTAAGCAAATAACTTTGCTGCAAGGAAAGGGATGAAAAAAGTAAAAATAAGCAGAATATTTTAGCCAGTAATAATACGTACTTTTTCCACTCTTCTATCAGGACTTTTGTTTGTTTATTTAACACCAAAGGGGTAAAACGTTTTTCGTCCACAGCCTTCATTAATTTTACCATTAAATCTGGCCCTGTCAAAAATCATAAAGAATATTGATAAATAGGATGCACGCATTTTTGAAATTTATAGCTATACATTTTTTTGGTAATTCTCCTGGCCATTTTACGCAAACTTTATGCCCATCTGTTGAATCATCTAGAAAATCTATGCGATACACTGAGCTGCTCGAAATAGGAACTGCAATTTCATTCGACACTGATATTATTTTATAGTCAGAACTGATAGAATGCTGATGTTGCGCATCGATGCGCATGAGATTATGCATTGGCTCTGGTAGCAGCTTCTTTAAGCAGAGCATGAAGTTAAGCGTACGATCTGAGCTCCCACGTACAATAATCTGTAATTAAAATATTAACGTTTCACGTTGTGATTAAGTAGGTTTCTAAATAACTATTTATCACCTTTATGCCGGTTAGTGCACAATACATCACCGTATTAAATTCGCGTCGTACAATTTCCTTTACATGTCGTAGTGAATAAAACTCTTCTCTTTCGGGATCATTAATAGTTTCTTCGTATTTTTGTATCATTGGCAGTGTAATATTATATGTAAGACGCTGTTGCGGCGGACGATCGCTACTTTGAGGCGGCAACCACGGTAGGTTGCCAAAAGTAACATGTTCCGTAAGGAAACGCGAACCAGCCAATAATATCCACGAAAAGTGTGAATGTAGAAATGCATAAATATTTTCTTCTCCAGTTAATTCTACTAAAGAGCGTGGTGTTTGCACAAGAACTTGTGCACTGGACAATCGACGTTGCCGAGGCAGTTCTTTTGTATCATCGTTGATTTTTTTGGCAGATGTTTGAATGTCTGTTGAAATTTTTCGTAAATGTTCAGCAAGGAAAGGTTTCGTATTAAGAAGGAAGTACTTATCCTTCATAAGTACAATAATGGAGAATAGTTGGTAGAAGCCCCGAGCCTAAAGAGCAAATAAATAATGTAGGTAATTATGCAACATGGGAAATGGATTTCTGCTGAGTTTTCACTAATAGTACATACCACTGTTTATCTTTCCTAATAAAAAATTAAAACATCAATATTCAACCTACCTGCAGATCATTTACTTGAAATGTATGGCTCAGTACATGCCCTCTTGCAGAGTCACCGAAGAATACAAATCCCCCATCTTTATTGGAGTTGATCTCACAGCTAAGGCTTCGCACTGCTGCTTGCTTAACCAACATCTGGACGTCAGGCAATGCTGCAGTTTGTGTGCTTAAAAACGTCGCTCCACTTTCATTATCCTTACTGTACAAGCCATTAGTTTGGCCAAGTGAATTGCAGGCGGAACACATTTTGCTGTCCAGTTGCTGCTGATCCAACTGTACCTCTTCCAATTTTGTATCCCGTAGAGTTTGTGTACAAAATATAGCACTAGGCCCATGTGCCTCACAAAAGTGGCACAAGGCTATAACAGCGTTCATATTTATTTATTCGAACAAAGCGAGAAAATGTTACATTTTTTGCAAAAGTCAAATAAGTTTATGCAATCTTTTGTTTTGTTTTGGTAATCCACCCAATCGCTATGTTGCTTTATGGTTCATTCACTCTCCAGCTGTTTGCGGTGCTGCCACCCAGTTAATAGAAGTTCTGATTAGAAATTCATCGCCGAGACAAAGAACGTAAATCTATCTAGAAATCTGTAATTAGGTTTTTTTGGTTTAAGCAATGAGATTTCATTTAAGACAAGCATTAAGCATTAATTTTATACTATTCAAGCAAATAAAACTGCAGAAGGTTTTTACCTGAACACCTTGTGTGCATAATATTCGATATTTTCTAACTTGTAATCTGTAATTTAACGCACTAGTCGCATTACCAAAAGCGCAACACTGGTGATTTGGAAGAAATAAAATCATTGCCCCTTTGTTCTTCCTATTCATTCTTTGAGTTGAATTCGCCCGATAAAGACGATATTGACAACGGCTCGGTTTATTTGTACTATTTCCAAAAGAAAAAAGAAATATAGCAGCAATTGGATTTGTTTTAAATAAATTTTTTACTTTTGGGTTTGGATAAATTGAGAAATTTTCAAACGGAATAGTTGAAACAAAAAGCTAACCATCCGTAAAATTAAGAATTGTTTTAATAAGATTTGCAAAATTTAAAGAAAAGAAGTGAAGAAGAAACCCATTCGCAAGCAAAGGAAAAATTTAAGGCAACGCAAAATCATAAACTGAAAAATCGATTAAAGGGGGGCAGACAGGAGGAAGACTTTCGTATCTGAGCGAAAATTCATTTGGTGGAGGTCAGATTGGTGTTCGTGCATCAAATAATAACAATAAACAAATAAAATATTGTAATAAAAGGCGGACTTTGGTGGAAAAGCAAAAAAAAAATAAAAATTAGAAGAATATAATAAGCACCACTTTAGGAGAAAATGGCTGACGTTGAATCAAGTGCTGTTGTGCAGCAATCGTCTTCAGGTGCCAGTAGCATGAGCCTAAATTCTATACCACTATTAGCGTCCAATGAGCTGCTCGGCGAAAGCAGCAGCGCTCAAGTAAATCTCCAGCAACAACAGCAACAATCACAACCCGTTGCTGGTGCTGTTAGTGGAGGTAATGGTGGCAGCGCAGGTACATCCTCGAGTTCAGTCAACAATGCGGGATCCATAACAATGGATACTACAACTAGTGAAAATACAAGTTTAGTTAATAGTGGAGTGATTGGAAGTGGTGTTGGGGGTGGTAGTAATTCGTCTAGTGTTGGTGGGGGTAAAGTGGACAGTGGTGAGCCACCATCTAAGAAGCAAATGCTCGATCATCCGAGCACATCCTCGGGCAGTGGTAATAGTGCATCGCAACACGAAAAGCTCGAGTATCGTCTGGGAGGGATTTTATGTTGTGCTGTTTGCTTGGATTTGCCGAAGACAGCTATGTATCAGGTGAGTACCTAATAATTTTGCACAAAATTGTGAAAATGGGTAGTGGGTGGAACATTTTATTTTTTTATTTATATTTTTTATTTTTTGCATTACCTTTTTAATTTGATTAAAAAATAAAATAAATTAAAAAATGCAAGCCTATCTTGCTCGAATCAGCAACTTTAACATACGAATGTCCTAAATGCCGATAAAACCATCAAGGTAAAATAATCTCCAAAAGAAAGAAACAAACGTGGCTGTACGTACATATGTAAAACATTTGTGCTTAAGCATACCTACATATTCTATAGTGCTTATTTGGGTATATAAACTAAATTGGTTTTATTAAGACGCAGAAAGTTCACAATGCAAACACGCTGCCAGCTCATGAACGACAACAAACCCAAAACTTTCCTTCTCGTATACATACATCCACTTACGTACACATGGATACACTTTTTATTTGTGTACTATAATAGTTTCAACAAAACTAGAATCACTTGGACAAAAGTAGGCAAGATCAGCTGTGTGTCAACGCTATGGTGCCACTATCGCGATTCCCGTTGTATTGTATTGGCTATCTACTCCCTCTCTCTACTGTGTATAATGCCTGGGGAAGATCCATTAATACATAAGAGCCGTAGTATTTGGGTTTTTTTTGGTAAAACAGCATATCTCATTTTAACATATTTTGATTTTTGAGCACTAATTTACGGTCTTACCAAAAATTTAACACTTAAATGAAAGATTGGCGCTTAAAGGCATAATTGAAATATTATTCTGTTTAACAAAAAATTTTAACAAAGTACACAAAATAGTAATTAAGTGCCTTTCAACACAGAAAAGCCGAATTAAAATAGTTGTAATGGATGAAAGTCTACAGAATTCAGTTGTCATAGTTTTTTGTGACTTGCTGAGCAATTGTGGTTGTTTTTTGGGTGTTCCTCTTTGTTATTGATGGTGGTGGAAAATCATGGTTAGGTGATATGTATGTATGTATTCGTGTTTGTGTTGTGGACTCTTCAATTCGTAGTGAATGTGAACTGTGAGTGCGATTGTTTTCGTTTATTTATTTTTTTTTTTATCAAGGGACGTAAGGTGGGCAGGGCTGCCAATTTAGCTCCAACCGTGCCATTTTTGGCCCTATTGTACTTCAAATGGCACTTAATTTTTTAATTTGACACAAAGTGCCAAAATTGCGCTTTTGAAAAATAGTAGTATTTCAATACATTACATAGTGTATACTACAACTAGTTTATCTTACTTTGGCATTGGACTTTGGTTTTAGGAATAAGTTTCTAATTTTAATGCTAAATGGGAATAATTAAAAACAGTGACGCCTTTTTTGACAATTTTATTTTTCTATTTGGCACATTTTGGCACTTTTTTATCCTCAATATGGCACTTCATAGCTAAATATAGTAGTTGGCAGCCCTGAAGGTGGGGCTGTATATCAATGTCCGACTCGTTACGTATCTGATCGGCTGTTCCTCTACCTCAATTGCTTTAGCTCGCCTCAGCTGAGTTTGTTTTTACTTATCTGCTGCTTCTTACACATACATATATTTTATGTATGAACGAATATGTATTTCGTATATATACATATATATGTATATACATATGTAAATATGTATGCAGTATATATGTACATAAATACATATATACACCATCTTGTTTGGTATAGCTGACAAGAGACTTTTGGGTATTTGTTTATCTGTTATGCGCACGCCGTTGTTTCCGCTCTTGACTTTCGTCGCTTTAAAGCAGACATATGATTTTTGATACATTGCATTCACCATGCTTCCATTCCTTTTATTTACATTACATATAGATACATATATGCGAATGTGCATATATATGTAAGGATACATATACATATATATGCGTAGTTATCTAAACAAATATATATACATACATAAATACAATTGTGCAAAACATAATAAAAATATTGAGCCTCCTTGAGTAATTTTCTTTATAAAAGTATAGCTCAATATCTAATAAAAACCATATATGTACATACGTACATACATACATGCAAACTTTGTGCAAAATTATAAAAAATACAAAAAATGCAGTTTTAGCATGTATAATAAAGTGCAAGTTTCAAGTGGCTACAAAATACCGTTTATACTTTTTTTAAAAATTAGTAAACATTAAACAAACAAAAGAAAAATGTCAAAATTAGTGAAAATGTCGCACTAGTTATTATTTTGCACGCAGTTGTACGTTCTCCTAGGCATCAGTGGTACACAAACCCTGTGGGAAAATGTAATATATGATAATTGAAAAAAATAATCAGGAAAACAACCGTTTTCACATTCGAAAATGCATTATTTTTCCCACGGCGATGTCCGTCCTAAGAAAAGTGGGGCATTTAATTTTGCTTACCAGTAATGCAGGAATGAATGCGATTTTTTGTGACTTTTTGGATACATCAAAATACTGGTTACATATGTATTAAACAATAATAGAATCTAGAACTCATAAGAAATACATTACATTATTTATCACGCGTGTAATGCGTTACTGCTTTTCCCACTGAGAAGTTTTGGCTTAACTGGTTTGAATAGAAAGAAGGCAGAATCGATAGGATGTTAAACAAACTAGGGAAAAAATTAATAATAAAACGTAATTTATGAAAAAATTCAATTCAATTCGCTTCTCTTGCCCTTGGTCGGATGCATATGAATGTACATACAAATGTATGTATGCATGTGCTGAACACAAATATACTTTTTACATATGTATATACACGCGCTTAGAAACACACCTGTTGGGTAAATGAAAACGATGATTTTGATTTGGTATTAGGTGAAT